TGATTCTTAAGATAAATCAAAGAGGGTTATCCCTTGACCCTGAGATTTTTCTATACCTTGTCTTGCAACTATTTCTTTTAATTCTTCTATATCTAATTCTATTCATTTTTTCTTTTCAAATTCTCTCATAGTTCTGGTGATAATGTTATTAATTTATACATAGGTTTTTTTAGATAACTGAGTTTTTTAAATTACTATTTGAATTACTACTTTCTTCTTCCTTATTTTCTATTCTAGTTAGATGTTTTGTCATGACTTCTAATACTATATTAAAATAATTAAGTTGTTGATGTATTTTATTTATATCTGTTTTATCTATTATTTTTCTAATAAATTAATTTTTTATATAGACTATCTTCTACTTCTTTGTTTTCTATTTTTATTTTTATTTTTCTTGAGAAAAATATTTTGATTCTATTATTTTTTCTATTGTTGTTTTCTAGGAGATTGATATTTTATGTAAAGGATTTACTTGTTTTAAATAAGGATATTCTATTTTTTCTTTTAAATAATATTGTTTTAACTCAAGAAAGAAATGTATATTTATTTCTATTTCTTCTAAATATTTATAGAAGGTTGTTCTTATTTTTATTTTTTCATTTTCAATGAATCTTGATAAAAACTAATTTTTTATTTCTTGATTATATTCTGCATCTATTTCTTTTTTTATCTATTATAAAAGGTTCTTTCCTTGTTAAAGTACTTGAGAGGTAGTAGCACTATAATTACCATCACTATTATTTTATTGTAAAACAAATTCATATATTAGTATTGATATTTCTGGCCTAATAGTATTATCTGTTCCTCTTAAATCTACATTTATAGTAGAGTTATCTATTGAATGTCTTAAGGGTTCTCTTATTACTTGAGTATTTTGTATTCTTATAGAAGAAGTTATATTCATTCTAAGTCTTATTTTGCCATTAGATTCTTCTATGATATCTCTAATTTTTATTATAAATTTTTTTAGATTCTCTTTGTTCTTCTAAAATTCATTCTTCAAGAATGGTTAGTTCATCATATTTTAGCTTTTTAGGTACTTGTACCATACTTCTATCTAAGTTAGTGTATTGTTTAGTTTCATGATTAGGTGTTTCTCTCCTAGCTTGAAATTCATAATTTACTTTTGTAATCTTATAATATACTCTGTAGATTAAATAAAATGAATCATAAGAATTATCTACTATATTGACTAGTGATTTTATGAATATTCTGATTGCTTTTGTAATATTTTCATTATTTAAACTCATAGAAATATGAAGAAAATAATTAAAGAAAGCAGAACTACCTTGTAAGTTTGTTTCTAATGCGGCTAATCCTAAATGGATAAAATTAAATCCATCTTTTTTATGTTTTTGTAATAACTAATCTTCTAATAATTGAATGTCTTTTTTATTTTGAGTACCTATATAAGAGTATTTTATTTTGTGTAATTGTTCACTGTTATTAAAGGACCAAAAAGATTTTTGCTGATACACATCTTTTTCTTTAATATATGAGTTTGACCAATTATGTAAAGATTTTTCAATATTATTTATTATAATTTGTTGTGGTAATGTTCTTGATGTTGAAGCTTCGTCCTCAAACATTTCTTTCTCAATTATTTGATTATTTCTCCCTAAGTTTAGTTTACTCATGATTCTTAGTAGATTAGTCATTTTTAAAATATAACCCTTAATGCGACGGGAATACCCTAACTAACCAACCAACAGTTTTACAGCCATATAGTGGACTTATTATCGAGACCACTACCTGAGCTTACCAACGCCTAAACAGCTCACACTGCTACACATGGGTTTATTTTAAAATAGCGTTGTCCACTAGAACCAGTTTTGGCAAAGGAAACTTACAACAAAATTCTGTAAGAAAACTACTCTCTCTCCTCCCCCTCTAAAATCACAACCCGTGTTTAGGCTCTGATACTAACTAGGACTAGATTGCACAACATTCTTATTTTAGAATAATATTGAAATTAAAAATAGTAGATAGATACAAAGAGATGTAAAATATTGAAAGATAACTTACAAAAATAGATCTTGTATTGATATTGATGAGACTGACGTAAAATATTTGAAAAAAAAGATTACAAAAACTTCATAAAATTTTAGAGAATTCTAAAGGATATTGGATTCAAAAACTAGCTCCCCCTCTCTTCTTTGTGTGGAGGGCTTTTATAGAGAAAATTTTTTCTCCATAAAGAAATTCTTTCTTATCTTCTTGTCCTTCTTATTACTATTCTCATGTCTCATCTTGTTTGCCATTTTATCTTGTTGACTTCTTTTTTGAATTACTGTTGAACAAAAATGCTTTATTATTATTATTTATTTGTCTAGTTGTACTGACACCTTATTTTACCTTTGGTAAAACGGAAGGTAAATTCCATAGCAATTGTCTTTATTTTCTTTGCTTAAATCTTTTGTCTTCTAGCAAATTTGGGCGAGTACTTTGAGTCTCATCTTTCTGTGAGGCTTGAGAAACTTTTGGAAACATCTGCTGCATTATTTTATTGAATTTTTTTTCTATATTTGCATGATGAAGACTAGCTATCAATCCCCTATTTTTAATTTCAATATTATTTTCATTATTATTATTATTATTATTATTATTATTTTCTGGAAACAATTCAGTTATTTCTTTTCTTCTTTTTCTATATTTGCAGAATGAAGACTAGCTATCAATCTACTATTTTTAATTTCAATATTATTCTCAATATTATTATTATTATTATTATTTTTCCTGGAAACAGTTCAGTTCTTTCTTTTCATATTGAAGGCATTAAAGTTGTAAACAAGGTATCTTGAAGCCAAAGAGGTAAACTAGGTCTGTTGAAGCTAACCTTAACTTTGCAACAAAAAAAATAATTTTCTAAAATCAATTCTCTTTAAATATAATAGTTTTTAAAACTTTAATAGCGTTATTTTAGCTGTTATATATTCTATAAAAAATAAAATTGAGTATTTTCTTAATATTAATTATAAAAAAATAAATTTAAAATGTATAAATTGCTAAATTCTTTTATACCTTTTTTATTATGAAATATATATTTAATATCATAAGTATTTTAAAAAAAAAATTTATATTTATGATAAATATAAATTTAATTATTTTTATTAATCTTAGTAATTTAATCTTTTGTTTTTTGGTCAATAAGATCGGATGAAGTATTACTTATTAAGATAAATCTTTGCATGAAACTGTAATATGTAGTAGCGGGCTGTTAACATTTTCATTGCTTGAAATACTCCTCGTTCTATTTAAATGTATATATTATGCTCATCGTAAAATATAAAACTTGAAATGCCGAGCTTTTGAACTTCTCTAAAGTGAAAGAAAATATAAAATAAAAAAGTGAGAATTTATTTTTCATTAATTAAAATATAAATATAGTTAACTTAAAATCATGCTGAAAATAGATTTTTACTTTATAATTTCCCTCACTTTAAATACTTATAAGAATAAAATAAATCAAACTCTTCTCATAAATTAAAATTATATTTATCGATTTTTTCAGAAGTTCTCTAATTTTAACTTCTTTAAAATTTGAGAAAATAAATTATTTTTAACTTAGAAAAATTTTATTCATTTTTTTCTTATTATTTTTCTTCTCATCTCATGACTTGTCTACAAGTTCAGACAAATTAGGCCTTATTATTTATCTTTCTATCAGTTATTAGAAAAATAAAAAAGTCAACTTTATAGATATATCACAAAATTATGTTATTCTGATAATAAAATTTTATTATGTTACTTATCATTACATTTTTTATTTAAAATAATTATTTATCGACTAGTAATAGATGAAGACCAAGACTTTAGCGGTAAACGAAGACCAAGACTCGTTTTTCTATTTTAGAATAATGAATCAATCTGGTAGATACGGAAAATTAGAGTCTTCAATTAGGTTCTTATTTGCAGCAGTGATGAGGCTGTGACTTGGAGATTCAAGCAATTTTTTTACCTTGTGATTGAAGGTAATTTCAAGCATTATTGAAAATATGACTTAAAATTAGCTTTAATTTGCAATTTTCCCCTTCTATCTCTGCAAATAACTTGTTTATATATGCCGAAACTGTGCTTTGCTTTCAGTTCGGTGACTTGGAAGCAGATAATCTGAAAAGTACTTGAATCTTACGCAGCAACCAAATTAGAAGAAGAGGTGAACTAGGTAATTTGCTCGTTACCCAGTGCTAAATTTTGTCAACCATTGGTTTACTTAGAAAATAAATAAATAATTTTTTTTAATAAAATTAAGCAAATTGATCCTCTATCAATTTTGTACTGCTTAAAACTCTCAAATTTTGTTTTACTCAAAATCATTATAAAATGAATTGATTAAATTATTTTAAATCTTCTTTAACTCAAATTTTATCAAACAAAACATCAAAGTCGTATTTTAATTTCATGTTTGATTCCCTTATTTTATTTGATTGCATTTATACAGTTGTTACTGTTTCTCAACTGTTACAACTATATCTCTTGCTCTAAATTTTATCACATAATCAGTGAAAATGTAAAGAACGTAAAATGTTATCATCAAAAGAACGTATAAATATTTATACAAAATATAAGAAAAACAAAGAATCACTTTTATTATATTCTATTTTAATTTAAATATTGTATCACTTTTAAATCACTTATAACATCATGTTACTTTACATTACATTTTTTTAACTATTAGATAAAATTTAAGATAAAAAATTACTTTTTACAATTAGAAAATTATAAAAATTTAAAACGAATAATTAAAAAAAAAGTAAAATGATATACAAGCTAAAATATAAAGACTATATAGTTAAAATAAATTTATTTAATCACATACAAAGTTTTAGAACTTATTTTCTGATTTTATCTCAAAATATTAATTAATTTAAATATAAATTAAACTGTTATAAATAATCAATATCATTCTTAATTTTATTATTCTTTCCTGTAATTTTATAATTTTTAATAAATTAGAGATGATTGCTTAAAAAAATGTGTTGATAACCGTGTAAACGAATATGGGTAATAAGTTACTTAAGAAACGAGAATCTCACTTAAAAAAATTTTCGAATACCGAACACCCTCAAAGCATAGAATAAGTGAACAATTTTTCCTGGAACAGCAAGAAAATATTCATAATCAAAAGTGAGCACGTATATTTGTGTGTTTCTTAATGATAGTAACGTGTCTATCTCTATTGTGTTCAGGTGGTGCAAATTAATGGAATATCTTTACGGCACTGCATCTTCGATTTCGAGAGATTTGGTGTGTGGAACAATAAATGAAATACGTTACCTTTGCTGCTTCAACAATTTAGTTAAAGAGCTTGAAAAAGAAGAAGGGAATTTGATTGCAACAAGAGACAGTGTAAGAGATCGTGTTGAACAAGCTCATAAACAAACAAAAAAGACTGCACAAGTTGTTCACAAGTGGTTAAAGGAAGCTAATGCTGACATAGACAACGTAGACGAGTTACTAAAGAAGGCAAGAACAAAGAAGAGCTATTGTTTTGGGCATTGTCCGAATTGGATTTGGCGGTACTGTCTGGGCAAGAAGTTAGCCAAGAAAAAGAAAGACCTTAAAACATATATTGAAGAAGGTAGACAGTATATACAACTTGAAAGCCCTGCTTCACTTGCAGGCTATTTTTCTTCGGAAAAATGTTGGGAATTTGAAAGTAGAAAATCTGCTTATGAGGAGCTAATGAATGCACTAGAAGATGATGAGGTTTCCATGATTGGATTGTATGGGATGGGGGGTTGTGGTAAAACGATGTTGGCAATGGAAGTAATGAAGAGAGCAAATCTTCTTTTTGACAAAGTGCTTTTTGTGCCGGTATCTAATACTGTACAAGTGCAAAAAATCCAAGACAAGATTGCAGGTTCACTTGAGTTTGAATTCCAAGAAAAAGATGAAATGGACAGATCCCAACGCTTGTGCATGAGGGTAATTCAAGAAGATAAGATACTTGTGATCTTGGATGATGTGTGGCAAATGCTTGATTTTGATGCCATAGGGATTCCCTCCATTGAACATCATAAATGTTGCAAGGTTCTCATTACCACTCGATCTGAAGCAGTTTGTACTTTAATGGACTGTCAAAAAATGATTCACTTATCAATCTTAACTAATAATGAAGCGTGGGTTCTTTTCCAAAAGCAAGCACTATTATCTGAAGAAACTTCTATCAGCGTTAAACATTTGGCAAGAGAAATTTCAGATGAATGCAAAGGATTACCCGTTGCCATTGTAGCTGTTGCTAGCAGCTTGAAGGGAAAAGCTGAGGTGGAATGGAAGGTGGCCCTGGATAGATTGAGAAATTCTAAACTCATCAATATTGAAAAAGGTTTGCCAAATCCCTACGAGTGCCTGCTGTTAAGCTATGATAATTTGGACTTTGAAGAAGCCAAATCACTTTTCTTGTTGTGTTCCGTATTCCCTGAAGATTGTGAAATTCTAGTTGAATTTTTAACCAGATCTGCAATAGGGCTAGGCATATTTGGAGAAATTCACTCCTACGAAGGGGCAAGGAATGAAGTGACTGCTGCTAAAAATAAGCTTGTGAGTTCTTGCTTGCTGTTGGATGCTAATGGAGGAAAAATTGTCAAAATGCATGATGTAGTTCGAGACATAGCCTACTGGATTGCAGAGAATGAGAATAAGATAATTAAGTGTGCGTTGGAAAAAGATGTAACTTTGGAACACAATTCTGTAAGATATCTATGGTGTGAGAAATTTCCAAATGATTTGGACTGTTCCAATCTTGAGTTTGTGTGCATACATACATATTTGGAAGTATCAGATGAAACCTTCAATGAAATGAAAATGCTTAGAGTTTTGTTTCTTTCAAATAAGGCTAGGTATAGAAGGCCATTGTTGGCAATGTCGTTAAAATCGCTGAAAAATCTTCGTTGCATGCTCCTAAGTAAATGGGAATTAGGAGACATCTCATTTGTGGATGATATGAAGAAACTGGAAAGTCTTACCTTGCGTGATTGCTCATTCTTTGAGTTAACTAATGTTGTGGTTACACAATTAACAAATTTGAGATTGTTGGATTTGTCAGAATGTGACATGAAAATAAGTCCTTTTGAAGTGATTGGAAGACACCCACGGTTAGAAGAACTGTACTTTACTGATCATAGATCAAAATGGGATTTTTACAATGAACACGCTGCTGAATTCTTCCAAGAGTTTAGAGTCCCCCAAGTATTACAAAGGTATCATATACAATTAGGAATCATGTTTGCAGGTTTCCAAGAAGAGTTGCCTAATTGTCACAGAAATTTATTACTTAGTTATTTGGATACCTCTAATGGAGCAGTTAGAGATTTAGCCAAAACGGCAGAGGTTTTGTGTCTAGCAAATATTGAGGGAGGTGCAAAAAATATTATCCCTGACATATTTCAAATACAAGGAGGTACCGATCATTTGATAAAGCTTTTCATACGTGACTCTGAAGAGATAGAATGTTTGGTTGACACTAGCCATCCTTTGAGTGAGGTAGGAGCTCTTTTCTCCAAATTGCATTGGCTAAGAATTGAGCACATGAAGCATTTGAGAGCCTTATACCATGGTTCTCTGCCTCCTGGTGTGAATTTTGAGAAATTAGAGGAGCTATATTTAAGTCATTGTCCAAAGTTGACATGCCTGTTCACACTTGAGGTTGCTCAAAATCTGGTACATATGAAAAAGTTAGAAATGATATCCTGTCCAGGACTGAAGCACATATTGACTGATGATGATAGAGAGGAGATAACTTCAGATGATAAAAAGATGTTGTTCCCAAAATTAAAACAACTCCATGTCAAAACATGTGACGCGTTGGAATATTTAATCCCTATCACTTTTGCTGGGGGACTTGTACAATTAGAGTGTTTGGAAATTGTATGCAATAGTGAGTTGAAATACGTGTTTGGTCAATGCACAAATGGAGCTCACCTGGTTGGTCAGAATCAAAATGAACTCAAGATCGACCTTACTTCCCTAGAAGAGCTTACTCTTAATGCCTTGCCAGACATCATTAGCATTTGCCCTGAAGTTTGTTGTGTAACATGGCCATCTCTTCGGCAGTTTAGTGTGCAAAATTGTCCAGGATTCTCCATCGTGTCTATCAATACTTGCTTGGCTTTACATAACAATCAGATAATTAATGAAGCTTCACATCTAACAGTGCAGCATATAAAGGAAGTTCGGGTCAATAACTGTGAGTTAGAAGGTGTCATTCAGCTGGCAGAACTATCTGTTGATGGAAAACAAGATTCTTTGACATCTTGTTTGGAAATGTTGTATTTGGAGAATCTACCTCAACTGAGGTATATATGTAAAGGTGATATACAGTTCATAAACCTCCTCCAAAATCTTCAACAAATGGAGGTAAGTGGATGTAGAAAATTAAAATCCGTCTTCTCAGCCTATATCTCAGGAGGCCTACCCCAACTGAAAGCACTGAAGATAGAAAACTGCAATCAGCTAGAACAAATCATTGAAGATAAGAAGCGTCAAAACTCACGTAAGCATGGCACCATATAAATGATAAGTTTCAGATATATTTATTAAAATTGATTGAAATAAAATGTGCTTTGAAAGTTTGGCGTTGTGTAATTTCCCTTAAAGAAGTTGTACGTTTTACAATAAAGAATCAATTCTCATTTTCCTGTTCTCATTAACTGTCAAATAAAACAAATCGGAATATAACCAAAACTTGCTTAATGAACATATGTAGTAGATGTAGTGTTTATATATTTTGTGTCTAGCATGCAAGGCATTATGTTGCTTCTGTTTAACTACTTTCCAGGGTCATTCAATATGCCCAACCTTACAAGGCTAATGGTAAAATCGTGTCCACTCTTGGGTCCATTGTTCACAACATCCACTGCTAAAACCTTGACCTCATTGGAAGAACTGATAATACAAGACTGCCATCGTGTGGAGCATATACTAGTTCAATATGATCATGACTTTCAGAGTTATATGACAGTGTTTCCAAGTTTGAAAAAGTTGAATGTTATGAGATGTCACTTATTGCAGTATATATTCCCCGTCTCATTTGCCAAAGGTTTGGAGCAATTGGAAACCATAGAAATTAGAGAGACTCCTAAATTGATATATTTATTTGGTCCAAACATTCATTCTTCCCATCAATACCTAAACAAGATCCAAATTGAGTTTCCTGTTTTGAAAAAAATCACACTCCATAGTATACCAAATATGATCAACATTTGCCCAGAAAATTATTATGCAACATGCCCATCTTTACAACTGCTTGTCATGAACGATGTTGGGTTGCCCACTCTGTTTATCAATAATTTGATGGATGATTCAGTAGCTACCCAGTCAAATCATAGTTCTATAATGGTACGAGTCTCATTTTGTCTTATAAGCATGCCATTATTTCTATTTAATCACTTTTCTCAAAAAGTGATCGTTTGTATGCTTTTACAGGATTCAGGGACAACCACTGTGACGATTAAGCAAAAGTTAGTGACTGTTACTATTGAGAATAGTTCCAAACTTAAAGATGTTTTCCATCTTGAAGAATTTCCTATCAATGGGAAACAAGTGACTTTGTGTTTAGAAGTTCTAAAGTTATTCGATTTACCGGAGCTAAGGTATATATGGACAACTACCAAACAGTTTGTGAGCCTTCAAGTTCATCTTCATAAACTACACATTTGCAATTGTCCAAAACTAAAGGCTATCTTCTCTACCTCTGTCTTGAGAATGCTACCTCTGTTGAAGATCCTAGTTGTAGAGCATTGTGAGGAATTGGAGCAAATCATTGAGGATGATAAAGAAAATGAAAATGTCTCAAATCCTCAATCCCCAAAAGTATGCTTCTCACAACTTAAGTTCCTTCTTGTCACACATTGCAACAACTTGAAGAATCTATTCTTTATCTCCATCTCCCACGAGTTTCCAGAACTAGAGTATCTAATTCTAAATCATGATTCTCATCTTATGCAAGTGTTTGAAGGTGAAGCAGGTGTGAGAGAAGGGAGGGTGGAGGTTTTACTTCCAAAACTGAAACATGTAGTATTAATACAACTTCCAAACCTCATAAATATCTGTCAAGGGATTGAGTTTCAAACTATGATTAATCTTCTTGTACACAATTGTCCAAAGTTCTCACTAACTTCAACAACAATTGCTGAGGACATGCTACAAACCTCTAATTCCGGTAAGCATTATACAGTATTAAATTGTTGAGATGCTACTAAGTTCTTTTTAGAAGATTGATCTAAGAAACTATAATTTGAATCAAATAATTTTTCTTTTAAAATATTCACCAAGGCTCATATACTATCCTTAAGAAAAGTATTTTCACCCAGCCAGAAATGCACACCAATCCCAGCTACTCCTAGAGAAAGAGAAGAGTTACGTTTAATCCTAGATCCTTTCATAAACTAGCCAACGCCTTTCACTTTTAAGTACTTTTAACCTTTAAACTACTTGAGATTTATATATGAAAATAGCTATCATCTGAATATTTTATTATTTTAACAGATACTATATCTATTTTATTTTTAATTTGTATGATTTAGCCTGCTTAAAATTCATAATTCTTCAAATTTGTTATTTTAGATAAGGAAATTGATTTCTATCTCCGTCCTCACTTACTCAACATAAGTGGTATCATAACCAAGGGCCATGAGGTCCTTACATCAAAGAAAGACGACAAAGGGATACAAGACTTACAGTCATGGGAACAAAAATTGCCACTCATTCCTTTACCAAACTTGACAGAGGTAAGGAATAGCTCTTTTTTTTCTTCTCTTTCATGAAACTAGACATTAGATGGAGAAGAATGGAAAAAAACTAATAGACCAAACCTATCTTTTGGCATTTAGCAGAATTTTGAAGAAGCTAAAACAACCATTATTGGTGATGTTCCAGCATCAGTGATACCAACTTCTGCTTCAATACTGAGCAGGGAAGCTCTAACTTCTTCATCGACTTGTCTATATAACATACCTTTGAATGTGAGTTGTTGTTGTTGTTGTTGTTCAGGTTTTAAAAATAGTAAGTGTAATTCCCTTCAAGCTTCTTTAGTATTTCAAATAGAAGTTGATGGATCAAGTAGTAACTAGTTTGTTAGCTCTCAAAAATTTTAGAAACATAAATTTCAATTACCATTCATCCATCATCTTTTGGAATTTATAGAAGTTTTGATGATCAAAAGGAAGCTTAATTATTTTGCATAATTAGCTGCAATAACTAAGCTGAACACATTAGCTTCATGTGCCATCATTAAACGTCATTACACAAAACAAGAACAGAAACTGTCATAGTCTAGCATAACACAAAATATATATACATCTAAAAGACAAGCAACATGAACATCTTACTTTATTTTTCGAAGCCTTCCACAACATTTTCCTTAACACACAATTCATTGTTTTTTTCAAATTAATAAAAATCATACGTAACTCTCTTTTTTACTTTGATACTTTTCTATCAACCTACTTAAAAGATATATAACATTCTTTCTCTGCAATCTTAGTCTCTTCTCTTAATTTATGCTCAAATTTTTTTTTCAAGGATTTCATGGTATGACTTATAAGTCTTATTCTTCTGTAATTAACACTAGTCTAATATTTCTCTTAACTAAAGTGTTCTTCCTTTGCTCCTCTGATATCTTTTTCTTGATTTCAAAATTATATTAAATAGCTTATTGAGACTAGTCAAATAAGGTTTAGTATCTTGTGCTTTCCAAATATCTTTGAGTTATCACTACCTGATTCTTGGATCCATGACTTATCGGATTCTATGTTTACGACTCTTAAAACGAACATTAAGATCTAAGACCCTAGGCTGTGTAGTAAGACTCTCTTCTGAATCACTTATCAAACCAAAAATCAATTTATGATCTTAAAATTTCACTCTTATAAGTGATTAGATGTTCCTTGTTTCTTAAAACAAGTGTTTATCATCTTGAAATCATATCAGTAGAATAATAGTTTTTCCTTTTGTCATTTAACTCTTCAAATCAAAACTACCATGAATTCTTGTGAATTCCCTTATCTCACATTTAACATGTCCATTTTGTACTACAAAAAAAATTATCACAAACAAAAATAAGAAAATTAAATTAATATGCTTGTCCATTTAACATCTTTAGTACTACGAGTACATATAAAAAATAGACTTATAGAGTTTGCAACTTATTTTCTCTTTTCGTGGTTATTTTCTTTTTTATGATACATGGCGTCTCAAAGAAAGACGATTCAAGTACTCAAGTGGGTTTTAAATCAAAGAAATATGTAATGGAAACTTTATTAAATGATCCAAAAGCGAGGAACTCACCACCAGGATCATCACCTTTTCCTCTTCAAAAGGCATTCCATTAATATGCCTGTGGTCATTTTCAAAATGGAAAAGCATACACTCCAAAGTTACATATCTTTATTTCTTGTGCAGAGTATTGTGAGAGTTGCAGAAGACGGAACCGTATCAAACAATGCCAATATGGTTACTTCGTCACTGCATTCCGACTTTGCCAGCTCACAGTTAGGCCAATTAGTTACTTCTCAAAGTAAATCGTATCTACATGTAAGTTTATCATCTACAATTGATCTTTCCAACATCAGCTTAAAAATAATGTTGTCTTTCTGCTTTATTATTTGCCACTGGAGTGGAATCGAAAGATCGAAAGTACTGAATTGTAACATAGAGTTTAAATTTCATGAATTTGTCATAGTTTAACCTTTACTTCTTACCCGTCTATCTGAAGTTGTAGCAGGAAACTTATTGCTTTGGAATTGTTGTGGCTTAATGCTAATGCCTTTTCTGTTATATTTTCCTCTTATTCTTCTTCCTAGAGTGAAATTGGGCTCGGCCATACTGAGAAATACAGTGCTAAAGAAAGTGAAAGTCATCCTATAAATATTCTAGACTTGGAGGCCAATGATCTCATCAGGGTAGTTCAACCTGCTGAGGAAGATGGTGAAGCCCAAATAACCACTTCTTCTATTTATGTTGTCGCTGGCACTGCAAAGCATCGTTGCACTGACATAGTTGTAAAGGCCCTTGTTGAGCTGGAAGAGTGTCTAAAGATGCCTCTAAAGGACATAGCTAGCTTTGAGGCTAACAGCCTTCGCCTTTTGACAGCTCTTAACTTCTTGTCCCACCTTCCTTTGCAAGATGTAACTCTCTCAGATGAACTTAAAGCAATTATAGACTCTATAAACAAAGAGTTCCCAAGCATTCTATGTTCCTTCAAGCAAGCCTTTGCTATTACCAACAAGCTGGGAGCGCTTGAAGCTCATTGGAATGAGTTAGCTGTTACTCTTGTTTCCAAAATTTCCGAGGCAAAGAATTTTATGGATGAAGCTCAGCAGAAGGAAACAGTTTTGAAGGAACGAATAGTTAGGTTGGAGAAAGAATTAAAAGATTGCCAGGCTAACCTATCATCTCTTCAAGAGAAAAAGAAGAAATGCATTGCAGAAACTATAGAGTACAAAGAGAAGATTGAAAATATGAGGCAAGACAAGTCTCAAATGATGGAAGATCAAAGAAAAGTTCGGGAAGAATTATTTGAAGTTGGTTATAGATGGTCGACTCTTTGTAGTCAATTTGAGCACCACCGCATTGTTGCTAGAGTTCCCTCTTGAAGATTTTTCTTATTCATTGCTTTATTGAATGGTTAGATTTATTATGTTTTGAAGGGTATATTATTAATTGTTTACTCAAAGTTTATGTATATTACGCTTGACGCAAAAAGGATGACCTGGAACCACCATACTGTTCAGGCTTTTGTTTATGCTGCTGCATGCTTCAAAATGGTTTGAATTAATGGAAAGTTGAATTAGCATGTGTTTGGTTTTGCCTTACAATGCCTTGGACATGCAATTTGCACCTCTTTGTAAGGTTCAGTATGAGTATTTGCGAAAGTATGCCAATAAAAGACTTCATTTCCACATTGTCCTTGGTCATATGTGCCAGGAGATGGGTATGCAACATGCAAGTCATTCATTTGATGGAGTTACCTATGTTCAATACAAATTTAGATGTATCACTCTCCTGTAGTGAACCACAGGAAGAAAAACCCAACCATGTTTAGATCAAGTATTGATCAAGTATCTGAATTAATTACATGTGATGCACAATTGATTCCTTCATCATTAATAGCAAACTAATCATTAATGATATTGCATAAACCAATAAATAAGCATCAATTTCACCTTGGAATCATAGGATAATGAGGTTGGAAAGAAATGAACCGAGATGAAAAGAACTTTTCAGCAATTGTTATTTTTAAGAGAATTAAAATATAATTTATTACAAATTATATATTCCTTGCCCATCTACGGGGAAAGGAATGTCTTGCAAACAGGTTCTTTTAGAACATATAGCTTTACTTTGCAATTAAGTCATTCCATTTTATCATTTCTTTTTTAAGTTTGTACATTGATTTCAAATTGTACTTATCGTCGAGTGCACATATCATACTTGTTTCGAGCCTGTTTGTTTAGATACTATAATCGAGATTCCACAGACTTCAATGCAAATATAATCATTGAAGAAAATCGTTTTTGGACTTTGAAGCCCCTTTTCCTTCAAAGTCTGCAATCGCTCCTAACTCACAATTAAAAGAATCTTCAATAGCATGGATATGGTGAAGAAGGTAAGTGTACCCATTTTGCTCACTTCCTAGTTGCAATTCTTTGGTCTTGTTTAATTGCTCATAGCTCAAGCATTTGTCTTATTTCTGTTCTTGCACCAGAATAAATGCTTGTAGCTATACAAATATTTGTCTTACAGAATAATGTCATCTTAGAGGCAAGTATAACAATATTTTTAAAATTAAATATTATAAATATAATATTTAATAGTCAATAGTATTATTAAACACAATTATACATTCAAATATAAAGTGGCTACTGAAATAATTATTTTCAAATTTATTTAAGTAAATAAATCATAATAAAATCAATTTAAATAATTAGTATATTTTATCTTACAATTGATTTATTTATTTTATATTTTAAAATAATATGATATAAATATGGTGTTGAATTTGAGTGTTAAGTATGTAATTATATTAAATACAGAAAAAAAGTTTTATTTAATATGATGGTGTTGATAATTGTGCAGAAGAATATGTCAGCAGATTCCTAAATGCTCTACACAAATATTGTTTCAAAGTATTCTTGAAATTACCTTGTGAAGGTCAAGCATTGCACTAGAAATCGTATCTCCATTATATTTTACATCTGTAAGAATCGTCAATAGAATTGGTATTGTAAAAAAGGTTAGTTTACCCATTTTGCTCATTTACTAGTTGCAATTAGTTGGTGATGATTAATTTCTTATAATTAAGAATGAAAATAAGCTATACTTTTTATAAATAGCCTGACTTATTTAATAATTTTAAAATCTAAATCTAACCTATTATTTGTTATAATATATTTTATTTAATGCTAAATTTATTAATAAAAAAATCTTAATAAACATTAATAAATGGATCACATTATATTTTAAGCCTCACCTGTTTAATTAAAAAAAAATTAACTTTAGAATCGATATATGAACAAGGTTAATTTACTCGTTTTGCCCATTTACTAGCTGCAATTCTTTGGTCATGATTAATTCCTCATAAGTTCATAACTCAAGCATTTTTCTTGTTTCTTCCATGCATCACGTGTTGCTTAATGTGGAATTGCCTGTGTTTCAATACTTAATCAATTTAGTTTTTGGCTCATTTATTGATTTGAGATTATTAATTATAGTAAACAAAAGTAACATTATAATCCATGGTTTTTTGGAACATCTGTATTTGTCTTTTAAAAAAATTTATATCCATATCATGTACAGATTAATAAAATATATCAATAATTATATTAAATAATTTTTTATTTATATCAAGTATATATTTGATGCAAAATTGTTATTACTTACTTAAAAGAAGAAAAACTAAACTATTTATTTCAACACCTAAAATTTCACTTGATATCAATTAGCTATTAATAAATTTATAATATCAACTTAGTTTCTTAAATGATTGCATTAGTTTATAAATCAAAATAAATATATTTTACATTTTCAACATTAGAATAGTTGTTTTTTTATGCTTAAAAGTTATTATTTGTATTTCTTTTACTTTTAAATTTTTCCAATCACATAAATTATGCTTATTAGAACAAATACTTTAAATTCAATAAACTTATCTTAAATTAGTACGACAATAAAATCTCAACAATTGGAGATAAGAGGTTTTTAAATATTTATAAGATTAAATTAATGTTAACTAAATTTTTTAAACTTTGTTTAAGAGTGAATTTTAAGGGAAAGACATATGTAATTTTTATTCTTATTTAAAAGTTTTTAGATAAAATATAGAAGATTTATAAATCTTTCAAAACATTAGTAATCCATTTTTTTTTAAAATTTTTTTTGTATTAACCATAGTTTTTCTTTTCTTACTTTTTAAATTATTTTTTTCGTATTTTTTTAAACTCTCAAACAAGACTTTAACAACAATAAAAAGTTAAAATATTAAAAGTTAATATATAATTATTTATGTATATTATTTTTATATGTAATATAAAAATCATTTAATACATATAAAAATATGTTTGGTTAATAAAACAATATATTTTTCTTCTTTTACGAAGAATCAGTTAAACATATATGAACTAAGTTCGTACTCATGTTTAATGAAAAAGTATCAAATCTACTAAAGAATTCAATTAAAAAGTGAAATATTTAAATTTCGAACCATTTATAATAAATTTTTTATTTTTAATTAAATGAAATATTTTAAAGTACAAAAATTTGAAGGCATACTTTTTATTTTATTCTCTTCCACTCAAATTTAAACCATTTTTAATAATTTTATTTAAATGAAATATTTTTTTTATATTTTTTTCTTTATATATGAAAGTAAATAATTTTCTTACAAAACTAGAAATCTCTAATAGTATGTTTACACTTATTTATCCCTAAACTTTTTTAATAATTTTTAAAATTTAATTAAATGAAATATTTTTTCATATTTTTCTTATATATGGAAGTAAATAATTTTCTTACAAAAATTGAAATCACTAATAGCATGTTTAAATTGATTTCTTTCTATATACTTTACACATGTAGACTTTTAAGGTAAAACGTTTGATTTATTCTGAGCATTCTATTCATGGAAAAATGATATTTGGTTCCGCTTTCACTTTTGTTTTACGACTGAAGTTCAACTTAAGTCTATGTCTTGTTGGGTTTTTTTTTTTTAATTCTTTATGTAAAATACTTTACACAATTCATACCTTTGTTAATTTTTGTATAAAATGTTTAGAAACTAGAAAATTATAAAAAATATATATAACTAAATGAACTGCATTTACCACTCTTATTTTCTCATATTTTTTCATTTTTAACTCCAAACCCTATACCCTGAGTATATCTCTAAATTATCCATACAGTATCTCAATAGTAGCACATCAAGTTATACTATTCTAATACATATGTTGCAAATACACTAATTAATATATTACAACATATGTATTATAATCTTATCCGTCGGTGTATTACAACGCACGTATCATAATTTCACCAATCGGTGTATTTGTGACACATGTACTAGTATCTCTTTTTCTATTCTCCACACATATTCATCACTTTTCATATCACACAATTCTTTTTTTTTTTTTTATAACATATAAAATCTCCAATCCACATACTTGATCTCATTCATCATTTTCAATTTCACAATTTCCCTTTCTCACATAATTCATTTTATACTTTCTCAGATATTCTTAAACATTCATACTGTAACATCCTTATTTTATTCAAAATCGTAAGAAAATAATTTATTAGTCAAAAAAGAAGGATTAATTTAAATTCAATTGCTAGTCAAGTATAAGACGTATAATTATAAGACATTTTATTTATTTTAGTCAAACTTATAAAGATTTAGAGAACAAATTCATGGAAGTTAAACAAATTAAAAAGAAAACATGAAATAACATTAATAGATATATAGTTTTGAAGAGTTTACAGTAAGTTAACCTTCTCAAATATACATCAAAATAATTAGGACTCTTTTTACAACATTTACAAAATTTAAAATATATCCAGTCCTAATGAGCAGTATATCCATCATGCGACCAAGAGACACTAGTCATCCTTATGTCAACCCTTTATCATCGCTATAACCTCGGAATCAAGATCATCATCCGGTCCGAGGTATAGATCACCGAGGTATGTTGTAACCTACATACCGGTAATATGCTCGAACGTCCATCGAGATGGTCTACCAAGATGATCATGGTCATGGTATGTAAACAGGTATGTCAATGCTGCTGGGGTCCTCATGGTACTAGGTAAGATATATATATATATATATATATATACAAAGAGTATGATGGTTTCTACTTACAGGAAAATCAAAAGGAATGTTGTAAGCTAATTCCATTTCCATCATGACAATATCACTAGGTACATCACTTTCATATACAACCATCCTAAATAAACAAAATCGTTGATACTCATTGAATACATAATTTAACCTATTAGTTACAGAACTATCTACTAATCTAATCTCCTTGGTGGGTGCTGTCATCTGGATTCCCTGAAATGTTGATGTAAGGATAAGTCTCTATTCATATTACCAAGCATA